GGGGGGGGGTGTGTGTTTAATTTTCGATTAGAGAACTAGCCATTTCATCCAGAGATCTCCAGTTTCCCATGAGATTTATAGTTCAGATAAAAGGAAGGAAATCTTTAACCAGCTCCCATAATACATGGAATGCTGCTTTCATGGGCATTAATACAGATGTTGCTATGCTTGTTCAGGAGATTTCAAAAAGTGCTGAGGCTTTTTTTTGTCATGGCTAATCCTACGAGCTCAGTGGTGTAGCTTGTTGCTGTTACAACATCTTCTTGCAGTGCTTGGAGCAATTAACATTATAACAGCAACTGAAAGCAGTGAAAAAGAAGCAAATAGAATTTGGGAAGCTGTAAAATAAGCAGTGCTCATGTCAGCTAAATAAAATACCTTTGAGAGGTACATGAGCATGGGGAGTAAATTTTCCCCTGCATAGTTGCATGGAGGGGTGTCTGTGTAATCGTATCGGGAATGTGTGCAGCAGGTCAGAACAGCATTGGGATATTGCATAGCTGTAAGAAGATACTCTTCAGGTTTTTCTTCCTGCATGTTGTCTTTTCCATCATCCCATATCTCTCAATGCTTACATTATATTAAGACAATATTAATTGCAAAGAGAAGGTGCTGCAAGAGCCCCCTGAAGTAGTTGGTCTGATTCAGTAAGCTTTCAGACTTGCAGATAAAGTCACAATGGGATTTGAAGAGGTTTTGGCACTTCTAAGGGCGCTAGAAAGCTAGCTGTTGGAAAGAAGGTGGCTTTTGCCATTGTAGTTCCTGTTTATTCATAATTAAACCACACCACTATGCCCGTGATCTTCAGTTGCACTCGGAAGAATTTTTAGAAGCCTTCCGCAGGCATGCTTGGGCTTGGGGAAGGGATTAGTGGGATAATAGGTCATGAGAAAACAGCTAAATGCCAGGTCTGAGTTTATGAGGACACCGGACAAGTCCTCCTCTGCTTCAGTCGTCTCTTGTATTCCCCCCTCTTAGACTGGCATGCTGTTTGCTCTCACTAAGACCAATAAGATCAACTCATCTTGCTAGCGTAGCTAAAGCAGGCCATTTTGGTAGTAACAAAACTCAGGTGAGGTCATCTAAGAACATTTCATTAAAGGAAGAAAGAATTTTCAAGCTGCCAAACCTAGGAATGTGATAAAAACTGTTAATGGAAACGTGGCGTCTTCCTAGAAGTTTTGTCCTCGAAACGTGCTGGTGGTGTGTGTTGTTTTATGTGTTGCCAAACAAACACGCAAAGCCTATGCAGGTTGGCATGCTGCATGTAAAGAGGAAAATTCATTTCTGAATATGGACCTGGGGTCTTGGATTAGTGCATGGTTTAAACAGAAATAGTATTTGCAGGATGGTGAGCCTGGGGGTAGAAACTTGAATTCTCTGCTCTGGTTTTAAGAGGTAAATTAAGCTAATAAAATAAAAATGGATGTGTCAGCTGACACTTTTACAAAGCCAGATGATCCTTCTGAGCCGGAGAAGAAAATACCTGTTGGAAAATGACAATGTAAAGACTTTTGAAGACTGTGGCTATTAAATCTATTGTCTTCTGTTAGATGAGGATAACATGATGTGCTCATGAAGTGAGTGACACTTCTTGTTTAGAAGTGATTAATAAACATGATTTCTTCAATTTGTGTTTCTGCAGTAACTCTGAAATCAGTCAGACAGATAGTAGTGAGATGCAGTAAATTTGTGTACTGCGACATGATACTCTTGTGCTAATCTTTTTTTAAAAAAAAGGTTTTGTTTGAGTTCTTTTTTTAAGATTTTTGTACTTCATATGACTTACAGGAAAAATGTCAGGAGGAGGCAAGGGAAGATTATAATGGTGATTATAATAACATTATAATGGTCTATAATTTCAAGATTTTGAAAATAACAGTAATAATAATGAAAAAGAAACCCCACAAACAAATGCAGAAGCTGTTGTAGAGGTGCATGATATGAGTAAAAATAAATCAGTGTTTGCCAACTAATGCCGTACAGCTGTTACCCACAAGGTGTGTTTAAAAAAACCCAACTTTGTTGTCTTCGCCATGTGAAAAACAGCTGAGGCAGTGGTGCTGAGGGGAGATTTGGGGCCAACTGTCCAAGAATTGGCGCAGTCTGTTCTGTACCGTGCTGTTCCTTCTCCTCTGTGTGTGATTGTGTGTAAGAACACGAAGGCTTGAAACTCTAGATGGCAAGTAGATGCCACTAACCAGAGAAATGGTGCAACTGAGTGTAGCTTCTTCCATTTCATCGAGTGTATTTCATAGTGGAGCTGAATTTCACACCAGTTGCCTGCCTCTAGAAAAATGTTTCCATTAAGTAAAAGTTATGTTAATTCTGCCCCAGTTTCTACTAGTAGCTTGAATAGCCAGCACTGTTTCAGCCAAAATGGAGCACCTGTCAGTCACGCCCCCACTTGAATAGACTGAGGGAGGGAAGGGGAACGTACCTCTGCACACTCTAACTTTGGGATGCTTTAGAGAGCCTAGAAATACTCCAGAAAGTTGTAACAACCCTCTGCTAATCCTGGCTTATGGAGAGCTCTTGACTGCTAGGCCGTATGCAATTGGATAAAAGGAGACAACACATCTGAGAAAGCAGCGTCACTGCGATTATTCATGGAAAATTGGCAGAAGTGGAATGTGTTGAAAGCACACACATGTGTTTGTAAGAGGTTTTTTTGCTGTTGTGTGTTATTTTTGGTTTCATAGGTGTCCCAGACTGGAGCTGTGGACGTTCTCTCTCTTCTGAAGTGCTGCAAGTTAGGGAGATGCGTGCCAGTAACCTCTTTGGCAGCAGCTGGCGTAGCTAGCTTGGCTTCACTTTGATAATCGCACACTTATCCAAGTGGACTATTAGCTGTGGAATAGTTTCTTTGTTATACATCATCTTTTATAGTGCAAACTTCTGGGATGAGGGCCCTTTGAGAAATAGGGCAAGTAGGTAAGATACTGGGAAGATGTTATGGAAGGTAGTAGAGCAAACAATCCTTTGTCTTTTAAGGGGGTTAAAATTCTGTATTTAAAAGCAGTAAGCCTTATTATGCTATTTTTTCTACTTAAATGGCCAATACACAAAATCATTTTACAAAACAACTTTTCTCCTGATGACTGGAAGTGAAAGTTGTGTGCGTGCAGGTGTGTCCATGTAACGCGTGCCTTTTTCTTGAGTCATGACAAAGTAAGATTTCATGATTTGGTTTATGAACTGGGATTATAGCTGTTGAGAGGAGAAGTGCGTATTTCCAGGCTAACTTCAATCTCTTGATGATAAACTGTCCCTGAAGGGTGGGTTTTCTGGAGTTTGTTGTTTTTTAACCGGTTTCCTAATTACATAACACCTAGCTAGGAGAGAGCTGGGAATTTTTTAAGGAATACAAATTCCCACATAAATAATGTCTTCTCCACCATGGCATAAATCTACTGAGCATTTCCTTTTTAGGTTTAAATACCAGTACTCTGCCTTTAAAAACACTTCTATTGTAGAAAATGCAGTGAAGAGTGTGGTGTAGCTTTTAAAGCACAGATGCATTTTACTCAGTAGCTGCTTGATTAATGAAACTGATTCAGAATAGAGATCAAAAAGCCTTTTGCTTTTTCCTTGGAACAGAGTCCTGTTTAAGGACCGTGCCCAACCCCCAGTTCTCTCACAAACAACTGAAATTTGTTTTCCCTGTTGCATAGTGATGCTTGTGATGACCTTGTTTTTTGTGTTGGCAGTCCTCCATGCTTTTAAGTTACACAGAACTTGAAAATAGTTATGTTTATCTTCTTACCTCGTCAGGCTTGCTGTTACTTTATATACTTCTAGCCTACTGTGTTTACTTAAAATAAAAATTCAAAAAATTGCAATTAATTCAGGGAGAATTGATGGAAATGAGTGTCATATTTTAAATCTGGCAAACAAAAAAAAATCTTGGCAGTAATTAATAAAATTTTATCGTATGACTCTACAATAATTTCTGTTAAACTTCTAGTGACTTGGCTGTATTTACAGCATGTGCAAATCTAGGATTTGCAAAATCCTTTGCGATTAATAGTCTCTTATCCACTATCCTCTTTATGAGTCGGATAAAAGCATAAGGCTACCATAATGCGTGTTTGTGTAGGATTAGGGAAGCAATTTGGTGGTAGATGTGTTTGTCTTGAAGCACGACAATTGACATGCAATTTCCACATACAGTTTTACCATAATAGTCTGTCTAATCACTTTTTGGATCTTACTAACATACTTCTGCTCAAGCTTTCTGTTTGACACCAGAGCTGCAAATGATAATGTGTTTCTTTAAGTGAGGAGCTTGATGCAGGGGGCAAATATTAACTGCAGCACACATTTTCCCTTCCAGCTTACAGGCTGTACACTGTGGTCCCTCGATTAGTCAAGTTTGTTGATATTCTCACCAACTGGTATGTTAGGATGAATCGCAGAAGACTCAAGGTAGGTATTAGTTCTGCGGTCTTGCATTATAAACAAAATCCAAATAGTTGGTGTTAATTTAATGCGTAGCGGCTTCATGGTGTTACACAGGATCTGTCTGCTGCCTTTTAAATTATAGCAGTTTGCACCTGGTATAGTGGGGGTGAGAAGTTAACGTTTGGTTCCTCCTCTCTGCCTTAGGAGGAAAACTGAACAAACGGAAGTTTGTAAACCCAGTAACTCTGTTTCATTTGCTGGATGGGATTGCGCAAGATGAATAGAGTTTGGAAAACCTCTTTATTGCATTAAGGCAGGGAATGTTTGGAGTTTATTGAAGTGCACTTACTGATCCTAAAATTATTTATAGGTTTGTTTCTTTTCTTGGTGAATTCTTCAAATAGGGTGAGAACGGGACTGAAGACTGCGTTATGGCCTTGGAAACCCTGTTCAGTGTTTTGTTCTCCATGTGCAGACTTATGGTAAGGGAATCATAGCCCACTGTAACTATTTGACACTTCTAATGTGCTTAAAGTATGCGTATCAGTTTAAATTGACCATCAAAGTGAGGGGTTCCCATGAACACGTGGGGAGACAAAGCATACTACTCCTGATGTGTGTAGCACAGTTCATTTGCCGCCTCCTGCTTTTCTTTGCTTATCTGCCCCATGGTACTGTAAAGACGGCAAATGTCGCCTGTCTGATAAAGAGGCAGTATGATTTCTTGTCTCCCCGAAGTAACATGTATGTATCAGGAAGGAGGTGAACAAGTAGCAGCAATTTCATCATTTACTTCGGTCTGCATTTTGAATAAGGCCACAGTTCTGTGTAGAAGACACTGTGTAAGCGTTGTTTTTGCCAAACTGTCCTTGTGCAGTTCAGAAGTATTCCTGATTCATAATGTACAAACAATAAAGATGATGATTGAATGCAACATTACAGGCACCGTATACTCCATTTATCACTGAGCTCATGTACCAGAATCTGAAGACACTTATTGATCCCGCCTCGGTTCAGGAAAAGAATACTGAAAGCATCCACTACCTCATGCTTCCCCAAGTGAGGTAGGAGACAGCTGTTACATGGCAAAATGGGGTTTTGGTTTGGTTGGGTTTTGGTTGGTCGTTGGTTTTTTGGGGTTATCTTTTTTTTTTGTTTGGGGCTTTTTTGTTTTTCACAGAACGGTGCACCTTCACTTAGACTTTGTGTTTAAACCTCTTTTGCATAGCAAGAGAACAAGCTGCTTTAATAATGTGACTATTCCTTTTGCCTCAGGAAGAATTTTAGGATGATAATTGACGCATTCTTTTCTATAAGCAAAAAACCCCTTTTGATTAAGCTCTGATTAATGTTTGTTTCTTTGCTGGAGGAGAACATTTTGCTACTTCACACCCCACTCTCCATGTTAGCTGTGAATTTTCTTTTCCCTCCACACTTAGGCAGTAGCCTTGTGCTAGGTTAAAGGATTACAGATAGGAAGGGAAACAATTAGGAGGAATGCGTGTTCCCAACTCATAATGTTCTCTTCTTACGGATGGGCAAGGAGTATCCTTTTTACTCTTCAAAATGCACGCTGAGTAGAAGTCATCATGCCTGCCCATGAGGGACCCAACAGGAGTGCAAGATGTTCTTGTGGGCCCTGCGTTTGCCAGAACATGTGCATCCCTCCATCTCTGTGCCTTTCGTAGTGACTGCTGATGCCAGATCCCACGTGGTTTGGAATTACTGTATCATGTGGGGCTCATACGGAGCCAGCGGAGTGAGTTCTTTTGGCTTCAGACCAAGAATTTAGACCTTTCCGCAGAGACTACCATTTCCTTGTGAGGGGAGACATGGCATGAGAGCCTGTTGTCACAACAACGGACAGGTGGTTTCTTTGGATGCTGATAGGTGAGGGGTTTTTGTCAGTGCACTGTGTCTCAAAAAGGTTTGGGTCTGTGATGGTTGTACTGGACATATGCTCTGGAGTATCTGTAGTGTCAGCTCAACCCAGGTAGATCTTGGTAAATACAGTTGTGTTGGTTTGGGGTTTTTTGTGCTTGTCTCTCCCCTTGATCCAGCCGAGGGAGGCACTGGTATTACAGTAATCGGTCACTCGTTAGTGACTTGGTGCTATGGTAGTGGATTAAGTTAGTAGCTGCCTTGCACCTGCTCTTAGTCACTGAATGTAAGAGAAGCAAGCTTTCCTTTTGCGTTGCAGCTCCGTTTGAAAACCCTCATGGACAAGGGAGCTGACCTTGAGACTGTATGTGCTAGATCAAAAATTTCAACCTTCTAGTAATAGCTTTTCTTTTATGCCACTCTATCCTTTTTGGGAGCTTTAATAGTGAGAGTTTCTGCAACAAGGAGCTCGAGACTGACATAATGATGGTGCTGATTTTCTGTTCCCTGGGAAAGTGCTGTAAAGAATATGTAATCAAAGAATGCAAAACTCATCAGTGAGCTATCAGAAATGGTTTTGAGTTCCTGTAGAATGGAGTAATGGAAGCACAGTGAGCTATTTGCAGGAACTCCATTCAGGCATGGGCTTAGGATGAGCGGTTAGTCACTATTCCTGTTGGTGCTAACTGACTTGCTACTGCTTCATGCAAACATATGATGTGTTTGAGGAGCTTGCACAGCTTTCCTCTTTGTGCTTTGTTTGGATTTTTGTCTGCTACTAATCTTTGTAATTTACTGGATCCCATATGTATCAATTGTTCCCTTTATCAGATGAAAAAGCATGGTTTCAGAACTAAATTATTGTTGAAGTTTTAGAATTTCACCTTGGGCTGCTAAGCATTGCATTTTTCTATGGAGTATTCTTCTGTTGACTGCATGACAATACTGTCAGTTAATAAGAGACATTTTTTGATGCAGTTGCAGAAAATACTACTTTAACAGTATGATGGGTACGTACAGCTAAGGGCCTTGGCCACTTCCACAGCTGAACTTGACTTAGTACCTGTGTTACCAACCCCCCGAGGTATTGCTTGCTTAGTGTCTGAACAGATTGGTTGCGTTACATTTTGTGGGTGTGCGTGCAATCTGTGAAGACTATTTAACTCCGTGGCTCCACAGTGTTGCTAAGTAATGGCAAGCAATACTGAAATACTGCTACGTGATAATAGATGAACCTTTCTAGGAGCAAAATTTTTTAGCTCACAGTTTATGCATTTCCAAGTTTTTGGAGTTCCGTCCTGGAGATTGGCCTTTAGAAGAACAAAAGCTTCAAGATGGGTAGTAAAATCTTAATCAAAGCCGTAGTGCAGAAGATGGGGATATTTCAGTTAAAAGTTTGGCTTTACCAGTTCTGTTTTTCTGGACAATCCTCCTTGGATGCATGGGTTTCGTGCCAGTACTTTTGCTACTTATATTACAGCAAACAACTGTGTTCACTTTATTCACAACCGTCTTTTGAAGCAGTACCTCTGGTCTTGATACGACACTTGCGTGGTTTGAATGGAGCTGCTCAATTTATGCAGCTACTCAAGAAACCAAGGGTACCACATTTTTGGAACTGTTGACTGCTAGTGTGTTTGAAACAAGATCTAAATGTCAGCTTATGCAAAAAAGGGGTGGGGGGGAGGGGAGGGATATGCAAAAAAAACCCCACCACCCTGCCTTGCCTCAAAATGGAAGGGTGTTAAAATGGTGAAACCAGGAAAGATGAAAAGACTGTATAAAACATCAAGCTAAAGTATCTGGAATTCTTGAAAAAGATGCTAATTTGGGAGGCGGGTGGCATTGCACGCATTGCATTGCTGTTGTAAGTATCAAATGCACAATAACGTTTTGCATCTTCTTACAATATCTTTTTATTGGGTGTTAATAGAATAGGTGGTATGACTCAATCTATCTTTTCCATCTTGTGAGAAGGACTGACAAAAGATGATTTAAAAGTAGGTCTGTGTTTTGTTTGCAGTAAGTTTTTTCCAAATCATCTTCTCCACAAACAGAGAAGATGACCTGTTTGTTCATTTTTCAGATTGCCCCAAACAGGGCATAATTGGGTCTCTAGTAGGAAATGTCAGAGAAAGGGGTAAAATGTTTTCGATCTGCTCAAACAGATAAAATGAAAATGAAGCAATATAATGTTTCCTTTTTAATCTAGGGAGGATCTCATCAACAAAAAGATTGAAAGTGCCGTTTCTTGTTTGCAGTCTGTTATTGAGCTTGGACGAGTAATCAGAGACAGAAAAACCATTCCAGTGAAGGTCAGAACTCTTAACACCTCTTATCAATACCTTGGGAATGTGCAATATAGCTTTGTAACTTTGGGATAAGCCTGGGAAAATTGAATAATTAAGTTTAGAATAGCACACAGTTCAACAATAACATACTTCAAATGACAAATAATAATTTCTGAGGTTCTTTATTTTCTGTTGGAAGGACAAAAACTGATGGGTTTTTTTCCCCCTTCTCCCCAGTACCCTTTGAAAGAAGTAGTTGTTATCCATCAGGATCTAGAGGCTCTGGAAAACATCAGATCTTTGGAGAGGTACATACTCGAGGTAAGAACATCATGAAAATGATTTCTCAGGGGTCAGGACTGGGACCAGGCGCTGTGCAACATCTTCTTTGACAACATGGATAAGGGATCGAGTGCACCCTCAGCAAGTTTGCTGACGACACCAAGCTGTGCAGTGCGGTCGACATGCGGGAGGGAAGGGATGCCATCCAGTGGGACCTGGACAGGCTAGAGAGGTGGGCCACAACAAGGCCAAGTGCAAGGTTCTGCACCTGTGTTGGGGCAATCCCAGCACAAGAACAGGATGGATGGAGAATGGGTAGAAAGCAGCCCTGAGGACAAGGACTTGTCTTCACCCTTGGTGGGTGAAAAGCTGGACATGAGCCGGCAGTGTGAAGGTGCTGAGGGGGCTGGAACACCTCTGCTATGATGAAAGGTTGAGAGAGCTGGGCTTGTTCAGCCTGGAGAAGAGGAGGCTCCGAGGAGACCTTTATAGCACCTTCCAGTACCTGAAGGGGCTACAAGGAGGCTGGGGGGGACTTTTTACAAGAGCCTGTAGTGACAGGACAGGTTTAAATTGAAAGTGGGGAGGTTTAGATTACATATCAGGAAGAAGTTCTTCCCAGAGAGGGTGGTGAGACACTGGCACAAGTTGCCCAGAGAAGCTGTGGATGCCCCATCCCTGGAAGTGTCCAAGGCCAGGCTGGATGAGGCTTGGAGCAACCTGGTCTAGTGGAAGGTGTCCCTGCCCATGGCAGGGGGGTTGGAACTAGATGGGCTTTAAGGTCCCTTCCAACCCCAACCATTCTATCCAACTTTGTTGAGGGGAAGGTGTCCCTGCCCATGGCAGGGGGGTTGGAACTAGATGGGCTTTAAGGTCCCTTCCAACCCCAACCATTCTATCAGTCTATGATAAGTTGTTTTTCTTGATCAGTGAAAGGAAAAAACATTTTCTGAATGAAAATAAGACCATGTTCAACTACATGTTGTCAGATATGGATTGAGAAATTTGCAGTCTCCTTGAGTTAAAGGACATTAAAACCAGTTTGACGGTAAGAGGGAGGGTTAGCAGAGAGAAGGAGTTCATAGAATCATAGAATCACAGAACGGTTTGGGTTGGAAGGGACCTTAAAGACCATCCAGTTCCAACCCCCCTGCCATGGGCAGGGGCACCTTCCACTAGGTCAGGTTGCTCAAAGCCACATCCAGCCTGGCCTTGGACACTGCCAGGGATGGGGCATCCACAGCTTCCATGGGCAACCTGTTCCAGTGCCTCCCCACCCTCTCTGTGAAGAATTTCTTCCTGATATCTAATCTAAACCTCCCTGATTTCAATTTGTACCCATTACCCCTTGTCCTATCACAGTTCCATCTAAGGGAGAACAGGGACCAGTCAAGATTTTTGCAGGGTGCTGCTTAGGAAGGAAATAAAATGTCCAATAAATAAGATGCTAGTCTATACAATTTCTTACACTCATCTGCTCCTGTATGTCACTGCAATATTTTTTTAATGTGCATCCATTAAAGAAATGCAGCATGCCCTACTTGTAAATCTCTGTCTGGAGAAATGCCCTGTCATTCAAAAGGAAAGTATCCCTCTTGGTTTTTTGAGCTTAAGTTTCTGAAGTTGGCTATACTTTCTGCTTTTAGTCAGTCATGTAAAAATACATAGTCAAGAAGTGAAATGAAAAAGGAGCTTGTTGATAAATAAACCTCACTTATTTATATGTTTATACAATAAATAAGTCTTCTGAACTTCACTACTGCTTTTCAGAAGTTGTAGTGAAGGCACAAAGGCTATGACTTTTTTGGTCACTTAAGAGACTCTTTGTAGAGCGGACTTTTTTAGTCTTTCTGCTCAATTAAATTCCATTACAAGTAGACTTTATGTGCGTCTTCTTTCGCATCTGTGATGTACAAGAGGAATTGAACAGTAAGAAGGAATAGTGGGAAGGAAGAGTGTTTCAGCTACAGTGGTGAATTTTGAGCCATGTTTTTAGTCAAAAAGAAAAGAACAAATGTAAAAGCTACTATGCCAGTATGCCTCTGAACTTTCTTCTGGGTGTTGGGACCTTCAAAACATCTTGCAAACCTGTGGTTCTTACTACTTAAATCTGTTGTGATCATGTGTTTGATGTCCTGAGCTCTCCTATGCGTAATTTCTCAGTGTTGGCAGCCTAGGGGCTTTATAGTTGCTTCGCTGGACAGGGAGCTAGAGGTGATGCCATCTGTGTCGCAAGGCTGGAGGCCTTTCAGAACCACTCTGGAAGGCACTGAGGGAAGAAGAATGGCTTGTTAAGCAATGCTGTTCTTTCTGAGCACTCTTAATGTCCTCTTGCTCAATACTCTCTTGTTGGGATAGATGATGACTTTTCACCCAGATGTTTCATTGTATTCCTTGGGAAGATGGGCCGTGACTTCATCTTTGTAACTCTATGTGTTTTGGGAGGGATTTTTGTATTGCAGCTCTTTGCGAAAAAACAGATTTCTGAAGGAACTGATTTGGTGCTGATATTGGGCAGAATGCATGCATTAGACTTGAATATAAATTGGGGATTACTTCTTGACGATAATTACTGTGTATTAATCTGTCTGGATTTTCACTTGAATCCTTCCCTTATGCAATCTTGTTGTATTTGTGTGTGGTTTTCAATTCAACGAGGCAGAATGAATACAGGCCAGCTTTTCTCTTGGATGAGAACTGCAGGAGTGGCCTTGCAAAACAAAAACACATAGGTGGTTCTTCAGACAATCTTCCCCATTCCAGACCCTGGATGATGACATTTCTGAGGAAGGGATACTAGCCTCAACACGAGGTCTTTGTTAGAGAAGTTAAGTAGAACGTAATACAAAAACTGGTAACCCCAAAAAATACCAACTTCCCTAACTGTTACAAGAGATTTCATGTAGAAGTCTTAATACAGTTGCTGAATGACTGTGAACTGCAAGCATAGCCTTCTTGTGTCTTGCCCTCTTAAGTTTACTTGTTTGAAACCATCTCTGTTTAAATGAGCAAAACCAGAAGAAAAAAACATTTTTGAACAGCAGCGTAGTTGTACGTTTGCAGAGGTTACGGCACTGACTTCCTTCACTCCCATGATACCTTCACATCTGGAAAGGTGAGCCGTAGGGTGTACTGTTCGTTATGCTCTGAAGCTCTTCCTATATTTTGTGCTTGTAGTGTGTATACTACAAGCAGATTACTGTCACAACTGAATTCCTACTGTCCTGTTTCACCTCCAGCGTACTTCCCAAGCTACTGTCATTCTAGTGTATGGCTTCTATCTGTCCGAGTACAGTAACTGGGTGGGAAATGCAGGGATTCTCCACGGCTTAAAGCAGTTCCGTTCCTTCAGCTCCATCCCCATCAGTGAAGCTTTGAATCTGACACTGCAGAGGAACTTTGTCTTGTTTCTGTCTTCAGAACATTCTTACCCTGTTCTATTACCTTAGGACCTCTCTACATCTTAGAGCTGATACAAGACTGGTGGGGTCAGCAGTCTGTCTTTAGTTTATGTTTCTGTTTAATGGCCTCTGGATTATTAAATACACTGTATTTCTACTAAATAATTTACCTTTGACCATCCTGTCATCTTTCATTTCTCAGAATCTGTCACCCTCCAGATCAGTTAATATACATTCATGGCAGAGACAGTCCCAATGGCTGTACTACAGCATGCTGGTAGTACATGAAGCATAAGGTCATCATGCTTTCCATTTCAGAAATGGTGGGTTTTTTCTTCCGTAAGCATTTGTAACACTTTGCATTCTCTAAAGCCAGTGAAATAGGTCTGCAAAGATAAGAGAGAGAAGCTCTTTCTCTATCATAACCACTGGCAGTAGAGCATCTAAGTACTTTTTCCCATGTCCAGAAATGGCACGGCCCTTTTCATATGCCTGTCTTTGGGAGGTTAAGGATTCTTTCTTCCTTTCAGTAAGGTGTCTTCAGAGGGTTCTGTAACAGAAGATCTAATCACATGCCTAACATGTGATGGAACTTTTTTTACCCTAAGTAGTCGTCAAGATCAACAGCTTTGCCTGGACAAAGAGAGAGAACAAAAACCTGCATCTACCCAAGCAAGATCAACTCACCGCGCTTGTCTTGGAGAGAGCAATCACGTCAGTCAAAGAATTCAAGAGATGACTGAAGCACCAGACGACCTCTGAAACCTCTAATTATGTCTTACTCCAGCACTACCATCTTTCCCCAAGCCTGAATGTACACCTGAAGGCTTCTAAGAATTCTGCTGGGGGCAACTTAAGAGCACTGGCTGGGGGACTCATGGGTCAGTGCACAAGAGTTCTCAATCAGTGTTGTATGCTTCCTGTTTTTAGTCACTGTGGGACTCATGTTCTTAAGAATTTGTGCCCTAAAGAAATTTTAATTGAATATATTTTAATGATTTGTTAGTGAGATTGTTAGGGTTTTCCTGTCATCTTATTATTTCTCTTGAACTTGGCAGTTATGATGTTTCACTTCAGAATTGCTATTGTTATTAATAATTTCAATACCTGGATCTTGTCAGTAGCAGAAATCTTGGGACATTGAGGTTAGTGTATCACATTTTCTTCATCTAAAAAATGGGATTGTGGATTTTACAGAATCCGGTTTGGAGTGAGATGAGATTTGCTTACTCAAATTATTTCCAAAAAGATAGCTGACAGAATTTGCTGTCAACTTCTACAGCTAGTAAAAGGTAACAAAGGAACTTAATGATTTTATAATTTATTACATAATTGGATTGTTCAAGAGTATGTTTTAATTTATATTAATTTGATATCACAACCAAAGTTAAGGTATGTCTTAGGTATTTGAGTTTGTTGTCATCTCCCCATTTTATGGAAGCACAAATACAAAACACTGCGTATTGTCCTGTTTTTATTATGTACCTTAAAATTCACCAAGCTGATGCTGAAGGCTAGCATGTATTTTACCGTATTTTATAGCAATCAATCTAGTTGTTTACTAGGATGGTTCAGAGCTAAAGAGGTCAGCTGAGACAGGCAGAATGGGTAGTATTACTTGGGCTGTATTTGCAGCTTGGTTCATCAACCTCCTACATATTCAGAGGTTTAGAACCTTTGGTTATTGCCAGAAGTGTGTTTCTAGTAAACCTGTAGGTGCCAGAGGTAATCTGTAAGAAAAATTGTACCATTTGATTTCACGCAGTTGCTGACAAAAGAATTTGAAAAATACACTTGTCAATTCTTTGAAAATGTCATTTGTCACCTTTTCAGCAGTAGCTGCATTCTTTGATCTGCAGTCTTACTCTCTCATCAGAACACAGCAAGTCATTGCAATAAATGGATTTTAATATTAGAACTGTCCACGCTATGGAGTTCTGATGCAAAAATGAGCAAGCTCACAAATGAAAGAAATCCAGAAGGCTTTTAGCAACTGAACACGATTGCATTTTATTCGTTTGTATTTGAGGCCTTTTGCAAGCCTAGCTCAGGGCTTCTCCTCCAGACTGCTTCTGATGAAAGGTTTTCTCTGAGTAAATTTTACTGTAAGCACAATCAGAAGCTTGTTTGCCTCCACCCTGTGTATGGCCTTCAGCTCCTACCCCTATCTATGTTTGGCTATAATAAAACAGAAAATTGACTTCCCCTTCAACATATTCAAGTTCTACTGGTATTTCATAACGTTAGTGGTGTTATGGTGATGTAGTAGATCAAATCCATGAATGGGCTGAATTAACTGATGCGGAACTGGGGCAGAGTGTGTAGTCCTTCGGTAGTTTGTCTCTTAAAATATTACATAATCAATATTTATTTTCCTTCTTAGGATGTTCGCCTAGAGGCCAGCCTAGCTGAAGCACAGCACTGGCTTTTCTTTTTGTTCTGAGAATTGGGCCTAGTTGGGTTACCAATCGATCCGATTGTGCCTGGCACATGACACCAGCAAAAGGCCCTTGTGCACATGAATGCCTGAATATACAGGCCTGCCGACTGGCAATGGGAAGGACCGGTTGCCTCAGCTTGTGTGTATGAAGCTCTAGAGATGTCTTAAGGAGCTAATTTTGATGTATTGGGAAGATAACATTAAGAACTGTTTTAAGTCAAAGCACTACATTGAGGTAGATATAAACAAACTTAAGATACAGACTTGCTTTTTGTAAAGGATCATTCTATTATGATTATTGATAACGTGTACAGAAGAGTGGTTTCCTAATCTAATTAGTATAGAGGACTTGCCCTGATGGAGTTGGCTTGTATGTAATCTATCTAATCAGGCCTAAAGTAATTTCATATTTGTGCTATTTTTTTTTGATTATTATTTCTTTTTCCCCAGGAAGTCGTCATTTGCCACTTGTGGGTCATTTCCAACAGCACCCTGTTAAAACTGAATGTCTGAAATACATGCTTTTAATTAGATTTCCTAGAAGATGTACTCAATTAAATTAGATTTAGTGGTATTCTTGACTCCTCGTGTCAGTAGGACTTCCGAAGAAATTAGGCTGTAGCTCAGAGGTTGTATTTAAGCTTTACTTCTCAGTCTAAATGTTTGGCTACTTGCTAGTCCTGTCGTGCTGATGCTGCCATTTACTTCTGCTTCCTGAGTGCCTCGGAGCAGCTTGCTTCCAAATGTGCATGGTGTTTCTGCGTCACGTAGATGTGAACTCCTTCTAGTGGAGATAGAAACAGTAAATGCTTCCAGAATTGGGCAGTCTGACAGACAAAACCTGACGAATTATGGTGGTATACGCTCCAGATACATGCACGTTTGTACCTGTAGAAAAGTTGCACATTGGCAATTGAAACTGTCCAAGATCCGTCCCTGGTACGTTACACCGAGAATAGAGAGTGGGACTGTGTGAAACTGGAAATTCAGGTATCAAGTTCTGCCTCTGGTGAGTTTCTTACTTAGCGTTACAAAGTAGGGAAAACGAGACTCTGCTGAAGATACAAAACAATACCAGGATACAGTGCTCTTATTTACAGGAAGCACACCAGGACATTATTTTGTGGTGTTACTAATAACGTGTGTTAACTGTTTAGTGTTGGACAGAGTAAGTGTAGAGCAGAGAGCTTTGCTCTCTACTTTCAAATTTGGCGTTGTGTGATGGTCAGGATGTGTAAGGGAGGGGGCTCTTAGTATGCTTATGTGACGAGGAAAGCCTTTGTAATTATGAAGAAATGCTGTAGTGGTTTAGACTCGAGGCTGAGCTAGCACATCCTGTGGTCTCCTGCAGTGGTCGAGTCCATGCAGGGAAAGCAGGGGCATCTGCCTACTTCTTGCAGTAGACTCCTGCCGTACCAGCCATCTGCAGGTATTTTATTAGATACTCAAGGGCATGTGCCTGCCTGTTCCCTTGGGCATCTTTCATGTGCCCCCCTGTTAGGGGCTTAACTCCGTTTTGAACTTGGTGGTACCCCTTAACTTCCATTAACTTTAGATTAGATATCAGGAAGAAATTCTTCACGGAGAGGGTGGGGAGGCACTGGGACAGGTTGCCCAGAGAAGCTGTGGATGCCCTATCCCTGGAAGTGTCCAAGGCCAGGCTGGATGAGGCCTGGAGCAACCTGGTGTAGTGGAAGGTGTCCCTGCCCATGGCAGGGGGGGTGGAACTAGGTGATCTTTAAGGTCCCTTCCAACCCAAACCATTCTGTGATTCTATGATTCTATGATTCCAAGGGTTTACTGCTTGTGTTATCTCCGTTTAAACCAATCTCCTACTATTTTCACCTCATGCTCCCTTACTTGAGGGGTTGTTCAGGGATTTGGGGACTAAGTTTTACATTCCCTACTTACCTCTTTCATATCTTTTAACCTTGATGGTTTCCCCCTTCAGCTTTCTTCTCTCCAAAGAGTTCTAGAGGCCTTTCCTTATGGCAGCAACGCTGTCCCCTGACTCAGTTGTTCTGTACAACTTCCCACAGCACCACTATATTCCCCCTTAGATACGGGGACAAAAACTGCACGTGACCTACCAGACATGGGCACATCTAGGGTTCTGCAGCGGCAAAAGAACATGCCTTTGCTGGGGCCCCTCCTGAAGTTCTTTCAAAGTTTATAAGCTTTTTTAGCTGCCCCTGCACACCAATACTCAGAGTTCTTGTGCTGCAGAGCTTAGACTGAAGTGTTTCTGAGCAAGGTGGTTTTCTGCACAGTAAGGATCTAGAATAAACAGAGAAGGAAGGAGACAGAGTGAGGCAGTAGCATTTGTGTAGCCTGAATCATAGAATTGTCTGTTATAGTTTTCTGCCTAAATGCCTACTGAAAGGACTAGTTCAGCACTGGTTTGCTTCCTGAATTTTTCCAGGCCGTTTTCTAATGCCGTTGCTCACGGAGGTAATAGTTTTATCTCTTCGTGCAGTTGTAACGATAAAATAAGGGCTGTGGAATAGGGATCTGATTTGAGAGCTGACTGGTGTCTGTCAGTAACAGAAATGCCTACCGAAAAGCTGAAGGGGAGGATGGCATCTTCTACTGAAGGGTAGTTTTGGCATTGGTTGGGTTTATTTGCTCTTGGCAAATTGCTTAATTCATAGAGACACCTGTATAAAAAATGTGTTGCTTGAGACTTACACCTTCTGCTGCGGGCCCTGGTTCTGTACCCTTCCAACAGCTGTCAGGCACAGCTGTTCTTAGCTTCGTTTCTTTCTCTTGGTGTGTGTCTGTAGGAACTTAATGTACGCCAAGTGACACTATCTACTGATAAAGATAAATACGGAGTCCGGCTGAGAGCAGAACCGGATCACATGGTGCTTGGGAAGCGTTTGAAAGGTGCATTTAAGCTTGTCATGGCAGCAATCAAGGAGCTGAAGAGTGAGCAGCTGGAGCGATTCCAGGAGACAGGTATGTCATGGTACAAACCATTACACAATGGCAGTATTGGCAAAAAAAAGATGTAAAATCCTTTGGCTCATCAGAAATAAAAACTCAAGATTTGCACTTGATTTGTGTACATTGATCAAGTGTTTGCAGGGGAGGATGCACAAGTATCCTGTGGGCTTAGGGCAGCTCAAGGCCTACTTCTTTGTTCTCCTCCCAGTTAAATGTTATGTTAATGAGAACAGGAGAAAAATTGGTTTTGTGATTTTGCTGACAGCAGATTAGAAGTGGCCATGTGAACTAAGCTGGTGCTGTTCTCCTGTTTCAGTGCTGTTGTAAGACCAGCATGAAGTAGAGAGTAAGCTCTTCCGTAAGACCGGATCAGGTTTGACAGGGTGTATGTGCAATCATCTTTACTCTAAAAGCTAGTCTAAAAGAATTCATTCCATTCCAGATGTACAAGTGGGTGTGAATCTTCCAGCTGTATGTGTTTAGTTAACTGCCTAAACGTACGTTGTGATTTAGTTGATCGTACAGGTAATTTTTACGTTTTATACCGTTCTGTGGAAATGGTACACAAACCGCTGCTGAGGCATCTGCATCTGAGGGAGTTCTGCTGCCTGTACGAGTGCTTGTGGGAAAAATCTGAATGTGGGATACTTCAGTGGTTTTTACTAGTGCTTAACTGCTCTGTAGATGTATTGCAAATATACTGCGTTTCAGGTATTTGAAGTTTGACACTTGTTTAAAGCTTTTAAATTAATTTTTTTACTCTAACCATAGGAGATGCTCTTTTCTGCCCATTCTGCAGGCACCATTGTGGTAGAAGGACACGAACTTCACGAGGAAGACCTTCGTCTCATGTATACCTTTGACCAGGTGGCAGGAGGATCTGCCCAGTTTGAGGCACATTCTGATGCTCAGGTGTTTTACTGGTTATTGCTGTTTGTTTGGGGTTTTGGGGTTTTTTTTTTGTTTGTTTTTGGGGAGGATTAAGGCTCCTGGAATTTGCTGAATTATCTTCTGAATTTTGGAGATGTTAAGGTACTCTCTTCAACGTGATGTTTTGTAAGTGAGGAGCTCTATAAAAAGGCACCTGAGCTTCTGAGTGAGTTAGTAGTAGCTTGCTTCAAGTTTGTCACCTTATTCCACTGCCTTCTGTGTGTTACCTCAGGTTTTGGTTCTGTTGGATGTTACCCCAGACCAGGCCATGGTGGATGAAGGAGTTGCCCGGGAAGTGATTAATCGCATCCAGAAGCTACGCAAAAAGGTTAGAAGGCAGTGGGTTGGAACAAGACATTTTAATTTACTTTTAAGCTATCTTTGGGCAACATGCAGCAGAAACAGACTTTTTAAATGAAACACAAAGCCCTGTATCATTTACTCTTTTGTGTAGCTTTCTGGTTGGATATAAGCGATTACAAATCACTATTTTCATTTTGAATTCCCATATTACTAAGTAGCATGAGTTGAACAAACTATGAGCTTGCTGTGCATCATCCATAGTGAATTGACTAATTCATTTTACTGAGCCCCTCGTTTCCTATCTTCAGCCACGTAGCAGTCGTTCGGTGTTAGGTAAGCAGCTCGCAGGCCTGCCTGCCTCCTGCCAAGCATACCCTTCTGTTCCGGCTTGGTTCCGGCTGGTTACGTCAGCTGGGCTGGTGCGAGCTGAGGCACCTGAGCCCTGGACTGCTAAAGGAAACACGCTCACGGCTTAGCAAATCACAGGAGGCATTTCTGTCACTGATTTGTATACCTACGCCAACGGTTCCACTCTTGATTGTTCTCATCATGCACACAAACGATGCTGTGTGACCTTTAGTTAAAGCGCTTTGAACCAACGTGATTTCCTTCTCTGTACAACACTAATCCAGGAAGCGCTGCACTTGCTGTCTCCATTTTGTGCCAAGAAAGCCTGGTCACCGTGGAGGTGATGACAGCTTGAAAAAGCCTTTAATCTGGTGAGGGCATTAATACGTAACACAGCACAAAGAATTCTAAAGGTTTCAGAACCTGTAAGTTGAGGAGAAGAAAACCAAACACCCACAAAACAAAAGCATCCCCTGTCCTCTCGCGCGCGTCACGCGTTGCAAGCCTTGTTCAGTGTTTTACGTAGGGTTTTCCTTCTCAACTGACTTGGTGGCAATGCACTAGAATTTGTACCTTTTTCAGACTCAGACCCGAAGGAGTCTTGCAGGAGCTCTAAGTGATGTGTAGAGAAAACATCCATGGGCCATGTTTTTGGGAAAAGACATCTGTACAGTTAAGACTTCATGAATCTTAGGTACGAATGTACCTGAAAAAGACAAATCTGTACCAAAATCTTATTATATATGAAACTATACAGATTTATGTTTGTATAAAATGAAACCAGGAAGAAATGTGGCCATGAGGACAAAACTCTCTCATAAGATAAAGACGGTTTAAATTTACTTCTGTAATGACATAAGGTTATAATTTATTCTCACTTAAATGAATATCGAAGTACTTAAGTCTTGCCTAATATTTAACTTGATGTGACTGTGCATTTATACTTTCGTCCCCACTCCTGTTATAATTGTACATGCAGTAAAACCAGATTCTGGACCCACAGTGACTGTTACTAAGATAGCACTAGAGCAGACATTATTTGTAGCAGATTTTAGAAGTAAGATTTGTTGTAGAGCTGCTATTTTTTTTTCCTTGAAATCACTTTAATTGAGCATTAATAAGGGTACCCTCAGACTGCTCTTTTCCTGAGGTATATGTTGGCGTGTGAGATGTGGCAGAACTAGTGTGGAAGCTTCGGCCTGGTCACCACTTCCCAAACAATACCAACACGTCCTGCGGACCGTTGGGCGTTAAGAAAATGTCCCTGGTTTGAGCAGTTGCTCCATGAAGAGTTGAGGGTTTAATTTCAGGCTGACAGGCTGTGGAAATGCTAGTAAAGCCTCAAGAAAAGCTTTTCAATAAACTTGGTAGGCTTTCAGCTCGCTAAGGGGTGGAGTTGGTAAAGACATTTGGAAGTGAGGTGTTTAAAGTGCACGTTCGGTCATTATTTTTTGAAGATAAACTCCCCATGTTTTAAGCCTCTTTCTTGCCCTGCTGACAAAGGAGTTGTTTTAGTCTAAATATTTTGTGGAAACTTTTAGCAAATGCCTGGTAAATATCTAAGATACTTTTCTTTAACAAGTCTCATCTGTTCAGTTTGTGTATGGGGAAGTCGTCTTGCTGTCATTAATAGTGCATGTGGTGTATCCTGCAGCGAAATCTGGTTCCTACGGATGAGATTACCGTGTACTACAGATCCCATCCCGAAGGTGACTACCTGGATACTGTTATTAAGGAACACAGGGATTTCATTTTTGCAACAATAAAGGCTGCCCTGAAGCCTTACCCGGTGCCTACCTCAAAACAAGTTCTCATCCAGGAAACAACCCAAGTAAGAAGCAAAATGCATTGACTGCGTAGTTCATTGTGTCACCTGCTTTTATCTGCGCAAATTGCATCGCTTCCAAAACAGCTGGATGTAAATATTTGTTTGTGGGATATAGTGGATATTGTGTTATATAAATCTCCAGATTAGACTTCTTGGTTTATAAAAAGAAAATAGTTGGGCTTTGTATGTGTAGTACTTTCGAAAGTGAAGCTGCTTGGGTACCAAAATAAACATCTTGGGGAGTTGTTTGTGTAAGGTTAATACACACATTTTATTTCTACTTGGATTAGTGCATTGTTTAGACAGCTAAAATAGTGTTTCTCTGATTTCTTTAATATGCATTTGTAGTAGAAATGCTCTCCTTTGAGGCTAAGTTTTGCCTGTTGGCTTAAGACCACCTTCTGTTATTAGTGTTTGAGCATGCCCGTGTTTTCTCCTCCGTCCTGCTAAGCTCAGTCTGTTGTAGCAGTGCAGGTGGGCAGGTTGGCTTATTCTTTCGGCAGCAGGTTTGAACTACCCCTTTGCTTTCTCCGACGGTTTGTTCTGATGTGCTTTGAGAATACATTTTGCTGTGGTTTTACTGAAAATGACTATATTCAAAAAGCATTTCTAACAGAATTGTGGATGAAATCTTCTTCAGTCTAAATGTCATGCTAGGCCAGAACAACAAGAACTTAGGGTAAATCAGGCTTAAAATTTGGTTTGCAGTATGGCTTGGGGTCTGAGAATAGCTGAAAAGAAAGCACCTTTTTATCCATCTCAATAACAGCATGTGTAAGGAAAGTTTAATACTTACTAATTACACTTCTAAAGTTGTAAGATTTGAAACTCTTAGTTTCAAACCTTTTTCAAAACTGTTAGTTTAGCGACAAAGGGAAAAGCACTATGTAAAAGTGAAGAACATTGTGGTTGAGAAGTGGATGAAAATATTTTGCTGTTTCTTCTGGGTACTTACTAGATTGGGATACTGCTGATGGACAGTTTGATCTTAAGTCACCATCATATCTGGTTTAGAGTGTAAAGGCAGCTGGAAAAAAATGCGTAGCGCTGGGAAACACTTGTCTGAATGCCTGCCTCTGGAAGTGCCTGGCACATGGGCTGTAATGTCGGCCGCTGGATCTCTCTGTGAAAGCTGTCGTGCCCGTTCAAGTGTGGTTCCCCCCAAGTTATTACTTTTCTCTTTTCTAAATCTTACTTTAGCAGACTCTAGTGAAAAAAGCGACTGTGGAAAGCTGAAAGCTGCGTCTGTTGGATTAGTTTTAAATAAAGCTGTCTGCGGAAAGATGAAGTCTTGCCCTGACAAGATGCTGGTGGTTATGGATACAATTGATAGCTGTTGTCTGGATGTCAGCAAAACCAGACAGCCGTTTAGTTTTGGAAATGATGAGCTAGTATGTGCACCAGGGGTTTGGGGCTCTCCATTGGCACAGATGTCAGCTTTCAGGCTGTGTAAACCTAAAAAATCAAGGCTGAAATAAGATGACTGTACAGTAGGCAGTTCAGTGTGGCTGTTGCAATTGATGGCTGAGTTTACAGAAGTCTAACCATGTTGTCACGGTCAGAGCGCTGAGCGTGCCGGCCTGTCAGCTGGAAGGCTTGGGCGTGAAGGCTTTTTCCAAACTACAGCATGAGCAAATTCCATGTACTGAAGTTGTAGGGTTTATGTACAGAGGCAAAGAAAAGCTCTAAGTAAATGCAGAGTTGCTGTTGTTGTACTTCAAGGAGTCCCGGCCACTGCGAAGTGCCTCCCTCCCGAGTCAGTCTGTGGCCTTCGCTGTGTGGGTTGCACTGTGTGGGCAGATGGGCTGTGCCTCGGAGCTGGCACTCACGTGCTTAGACTCTGAAATCGGGGTTGCAGAGAGAAGCAGATGTCTGAGACCTTAGTGCAACTGTAAAGTCTTCCTTGGAAGTCTTGCTTCCTGGGACTGCGGAGATGGATCGCCAAGGGCATGTGTTTGACTCCGTACTCTCTGTTCTGCTGCAACTAGCTGGTCACATTAAGAACAGGGAATAAAACCATCTGAAAAGAAAAAGCCCTTCTTCAGAAATGCGTTGAGTGTAGAAGTTTGGCCCTTTGTGTAGAGCTGAGGGCAGCTGTAGCCGTGTGCAGTGCGTTTGTAGTTTGGTGCCGCAGGCCGAGGCTGTGGTTAGTGGCTTGATTGGCCATAACTGTGCTGCCTTTTGTACTGGCACTTTCAGGCATAAAGACTGTGAAGATGGGAATTTAAACTGAAATATGCATCAACTGTCTTCTGTTGGTGGGGGTTGATAAGCAGCATCGACATTGAAAATGCTTTACAGTGAAGATTGTAGAGATGACCTATAGATTTTTCAGCTATAAAAGCAGGTGCAAGTTAAAAGAATGAAGTGTGTAGTTCCACACAGGAGTTCATAACTTGTCAACTGTGACAGGATCACTGCACCAAATTTCTGGAAGATAGTAGAAGGAGGAACAGATCTGCATGATGTTGTCATATGTGAAGGCTGGGACAAAAATGAAATGCAGTCTGTCTTTTCTACAAGTATTTTGATTACATTCAGGATCAGTATTTCTGTGAAATTATCCTGGGTCAGTTTTTGATACAAGACTTTAATTATGAATCCTTTCGCAAAGGTTTGCTCTGAGACAACAAAAAAACCCCAACACTTGCTCAGAAAATACTGGGAAGGAAAGACAGCTACTTGAAAAATGAATTTTTAATTGCTGATAGAATTGGGTAGACACGAGATGAGATTTGTTACTCCAGACGTGTCCTTCCCTAGTTTGTCATAGGAGCTCAGCAAAGAGCAGGGCTTCCAAGTTTGAGCTGGTCACTCCTTGGACTGTGACTCTTAACAAAGACCGTCTCCGGATTTATAAAAAACTTGGCCAGAATGGCCACGTGGTATCAGTTGTTCATCTAAGTGATTTGTGTAATTTTACAATCAAGATATCTTCTGGAGTGTGGTTCTCATGCAGATTGGTCTGAGTGCAGGAGTAATTCCAGCCAGTGCTTAGTTCAGGCCAAGAGCCGTGCTTGGAAAAGGCACGGTCTTGAAGTTCTGCTTTACAGCATCTACAGAATAAGGCTGTTTCTGTAGCATTGCTACACATTCTCACATCTCCTCATCCCGTGTCTCATTTGCAAAGGAAGATGCGTGTTCCATTACTTGTTGGGGTGTTGGAGTCACTAACTGCTGACGGGGAGCTACTGACAAAGCCTGACTCCAATTCCAAGGCAGCTACGATGCCGGCTCTTCTCGGTAGCCCCTCGGAGGCAGGGGAAGGCTTCCCAGACAGCGACCGAGAGCAGGGTCCTGTCTTCAGATACTGAGTTACCTCTGGAAGAGTCTCTCTAAGCGTATTCACTTTTGGATTATGTTTTGGGAGACTGTCATCCCTGCTCATCACTTGTGAAAATCAGGCTGGTTTTCTTGTGTGTTAAGTACTACTGTGTCTTCAACGTGTTAAAGACAAATCAGTATTTGAAGTGCTCCGGCACCAAAGGAAGATGTGGTAAAAGTTGCTATTTATTGTAATTAATATTTAGTGTAAGACGACAAGATCTTAATGTCGTTCATTTAATGAAAATGCTTTGTTTTGCTTGTTTAATAAAACAAGCAAATAATCATAATATTCCTCTTTCTTCAGCTGAAGGGATCAGAGCTAGAAATTACGCTCGTCAGAGGTGGTTTGCGTCAGTGCGTTGGTCCAGCCTGTGCCTACGTCAACCTCAAAGTTTGTGTTAATGGGACAGAGCAAGGTAGGAACGTACCAGGTGTGATTAGTCGGTCATGGCGTTACAGGATGGTTTGGAAAACGGTGTGATGAACGCTGGTGCCAAGTATTTGTCTGAAAGGTGGCGCAACATCCCTTCCAATAGTAGCTTTAAATCATTCTTGAAAATAAGTTTCTGACAAGCAAAAACACATGTCCCTGATGTCTTCTGGTGTGGGCCTGTAGTAAATACTCCAGTGTGAGCGGATTGTTTATATTCTGCAGAAGGGTTGGTTTGGGAATGTCTACATGGAGGCACACACTGCCTGTATTTCATAGAATCACAGAATGGTTTGGGTTGGAAGGGACCTTAAAGCCCATCTAGTTCCAACCCCCCTGCCATGGGCAGGGACACCTTCCACTAGACCAGATTGCTCCAAGCCTCATCCAGCCTGGCCTTGGACACTTCCAGGGATGGGGCATCCACAGCTTCTCTGGGCAACCTGTTCCAGTGCCTCAGCACCCTCTCCGGGAAGAATTTCTTCCTGATGTCCAATCTAAACCTCCCCACTTTCAATTTAAACCCGTTCCCCCTTGTCCTGTCACTACAGGCCCTTGTAAAAAGTCCCCCCCAGCCCCCTTGTAGCCCCTTCAGGCACTGGAAGGGGCTATAAGGTCTCCCCGGAGCCTTCTCTTCTCCAGGCTGAACAAGCCCAACTCTCTCAGCCTGTCCCCATGGCAGAGGGGCTCCAGCCCTCGGAGCATCTCCGTGGCCTCCTCTGGACTTGCTCCAACCAGTCTGTATCCTTCTGATGTTGGGGGTTCCACAGCTGTGCAACAGCTCTTTGTGTGTGTGCATTTGCCCATACTCAGAGTGTCAACCTAGAGAACGTCTTGATTTAGTACTGAAAAGGTAGGTGATGCCTTTTGGGGGAGGAGATAATATCTAAGCTTTTCAAAAACAGTAAGCACAGACCTGAGAAGGGCACTTAAAACTCGTGGAATATAATGGTAATGAATAGCAGATACTGAGAAGATGAGTGCAGTGATATTGTTAGAAGTGTTACAAGGTCGAGTTCTTTTCCTAATAGGAGAGAAAACTAAATGCACTCTCTGGAGTTCTTTTTCCTACGTGTTTACAGTGTATGTGTCAACGTAAGTGCGCCTTCCTTAACACAGTTAGGGAGCTACTTACTGAATAGTAATGAACCTAACTGTGTGAGCTGGTGAGCACGCAGTCTGTGCGATTTTACTCAATTTAATACTGGATTATAATTCAGTGACATAAAAATTTGACTGCTTTTCTAATAAAAACAAATAGTACTTCCATACTCTCTTTCTGAAGTACACTTGAGTTGTTCCCTTTCTTATAAAAAGAATTTCTGGAAGGTGCAGTGCTGCCTGTTTGAACTCAGCTTAGAAGTTCCCTGGAAGTAATTAGAATAAGTCATTAGAAAATCATTGGCACTTGGGTGTTGCTTCCAATCTGCATTTTAATTTCTTCATTTTGGTTTTAGATGGTGTGTTGCTGCTGGAAAATCCAAAAGGAGATAACACCTTGAACTTCACTGGACTTGTAGATGCAGTCTCCTGCATTTTTGGTCTTAAAAATTCGAAACTGACAGTTTTTAATGGAAAAACAGGTAAGTGGAGTATGACAAAGAAAATAAGAAGTCTTCCTAGCAGCAGCTAGGAGTTATTTACTGTATAGTTTTTCTACGTATGTACAAAATTGACAAGAAAATGCATAAGGAAATATTCTATTTTACAGTAGTTAGCTTATGAGACTGTGTTTATAGTCACATCAGAATGTTACCAGAAGCTGCTGCTAAATGATGCTCGACTCTTCAGTTGCCTTATCTCCTTTGCAGTTCTCATCAGGACAAAATCTGACTTATTTCAGGTGTTTCCACTGGGTCCAGGCAATGCTACATGGGGGTGGCAAGCTGCCACAAGCTTTTGCAGTGGTTTTTTCCCCTCATGCCTCAGTAGGCAGGGCAAACTGCGCAAATTGAACGCAAACTGCAGTCTGTAGAGGGAAGAATGTTACTTTTTCACCCCGAGAGGCTTGAGATCTCTGCATTTCTTCTTTTTAGAAAAATCTAGGGAATATTTTTGCAGCTTCAACTTGGCCTCTGTGAAGGCATGAGAATATAAAATATCATCTGTGGGTTATATAGGGAGCAACAAGCCATATCGTGGTTTTGTTCATTAGAAAGATAACCTAATTGAAACAGAAGAGAGCCATTCTGAAAGATGTTACCGTTGGTGAGGATGAGACCCTAACAGCAAACTGCCATTCTCCCCCAGGAGAGGAGAGTGCTGGTTTGTTACTACAGTACGTATAGTATTTCAGTACATCAGGAAAAGTTACAACTTAAAAATGGGGGTGCTGGGAACAAGGTTACAGAGGTAATCAACACTAGCAGTGGCCATGCTGTGACACAACTAGAGATGTTGGAACAGCGATACAAGCTCTTTGTATGTTCTCAGGGTTGGTGACAGGCACATCTCCAAGTGCCAACTTCGTCTGTTGCCGCACCATTCATTAACTCTGAAATGAGTGACACAGAAATGATATAATGCTGCAAAAAATGGTAATTGGATGTCGACCTGTGAAGAGTCTTATTTGAGTCTGTAATGTCGCTTTTACCGTCTTGATCTGTAGTTTTCTTGTCTTTTCCTGCAAGACTTTCTAGAAGAACGTGTGTGGGTTGTTCGTGTGGGTTGTGACGCGCTTACTGTAATGTGATAAAACCTCTTTCCACGTTGCGCTCAGCTGAACTGCCTAGCTCTGTCGTACAGAGTGGTTATTCTCTGCTTGGAGTTCTGGATGGTTTGTAGGGATTTCTGGATCCCTCAATATCTTCCTCAAGTTTCAGTTATGTTTTAATGGAGGAGATATTTGGAAAATGATTTCACGGAAAACTGTTAGTGTTACCATTCTCAGCAGTTGTGTGCCTGCAGAGGTGGGTAGTACTGTTCATTAGCAGTACAGTTATTACCATTCATTTCGAACAGTTATGAAGAGGTGACCTGCAGAAGGCCAAGAAGAGTTGGGAAACTCTCATCTCAGTAGATTACAAGCCGTTTGACTCCTTATTTGGTTTGTTTTCTTCCACTAATGGGACATCAATCTACTAATGCTCAATTCCTAAAGGAAGTGGTAAAAACAAAAAAAACTAAACCTTCCCCTTTCCTCAGAAGTTCATTTCTGCAGTAGCACCAAAGACTATTTCTTTCCGTGTTGCTTTGCTGTGTAGGTATCTTTTTGAGACTTCCCATCTCAGCGTGCTGATTGTGCACTTTCCCTCTTTGTAAGTGGCCTGGGCAGTGTGGGGTTTTTTTCCCCTGCCTGCTTGTTAGCAACATGAAAGATTAAATTCTCAAATTCACTTTTGTTGCAGTTTGGTAGAGATCTCAAATAAGCATTGATCAGCAGAAGATACGGCTTCCTTGAGGGGTCAGGTACAAAGAAAATAGCTCCTAAAGATGTTAGAGAATAAGACCAAAATTCCTGACGTTCAGTTCAGATCTATTCCCTCTGCTTTATCTGCCCAACCGTCCCATGGGTGATGTTAGGTGGGGCCTAATGGTGATTCCAGGAACTGGTCAGGTGGAGCAGGGAGTTGGTATCAGCCACTCTGTCCGAGAGGAATGACAAAGAATGATCGCACACTCCAGACAAATTGCTGCTGAATTGTTCCTCTGTGTGTTAATAAAATTGTGACCTAGTAAAACCGTATTTCTGGCTCCTTATTTTCCTTCCTGTGGTTTTTAGGGCTGTCCACTTTACTTGCAGTAGTTTATTCTCTTGTTTTCTAATTGTAATGAAGATTTACTTAGGGTTGTGTAATGGCACAAACTCAGGCAGCTCTTGTATTGAGGCAGGCTGAAATGTATCGTGGCCTGGTTTTCCAGGGCAACTTTGAAATAATGGGATAAACATTTCCTCCCCGCAGTGAATCAATGTACGTTGAGTAACTCCAAAAGCACGGAACAGGGCTCTGGGATTTGTACTCGTCTTCAGAAACTGAGAATAGATTAGTCTCTTTTTTTCTTAGAAAAGGAAAGAGCCTGGGCTCAACTCAGGTGATAAAAACAGTTGTCTGTGACATTCTTTTTGCTCCAGGTTGCTGAAAACCTGGAAACCTTCTAAATTTCTTACTGGGAATGCTTTTGAGCTGCACTCGGCTTTCATGGAAGTAGCCCATAGTGAAAAAGAGCGAGTTTTGTTTTAAAAAAAAAAAAAAAAAAGCTTTATCTTTATGGGAATAAATGAAGCCGTAAATCATTTCAGGCTTAAAAAGGCGGGTGGGTGGGGTGAGGCAAAAATCCCGCCACAAATTTCTTAGTCCGTGTCTTATTTGATCTTTATGATTTTCAGTTGGTTAATTTTTTTTTAAATTCATAGTGCTGTTGTCTGAGCAAGAGTACAAAAAGAATTTTTTAATCTTTAATTTTTAGAAGGCCATGAGGCTGTAAGGTGCCTTAGAAGGATATTACCACTTAAATCTCAGCTGCAGGGAGAACTGACTTTAAAAATGATTTTAATATTGATGAGCACTTGTAACAGCAGCTTGTTTTCAAGGGTATCGTTACACATGGAAAAAATGATCCACTCCTTCTCTTGCTCTTATCAGAGGGCTCTGTGAACTGACTATTGACAGCACGGTGCGTGAGCTCTCCCTTGTGAAGACGTCAGCGCTCCCGTAACGCAGAAGGCTCGGTTTGTTGGATACATGGATCTCCGTTACTGCGGCTCCTGCCCTCTTGCCCTGGGTAGAGCTGCACAGATCCCGGCGCCTGGGTGATGTCAAATTTGGTGTTCCCTGAGCTGTGCCTTTCTTGCTCTGTGGGGCACCTTGCTCGTTAGTGCTCTCTCCTACTCGTGACCCAGTGGCCATACAGAAACAGCAAGCAGTGCTGCTTTAGGGCTACGCAGGGAAAAGCCTGCTGCTGGCTCCCTTTCCACCTGATGAAATCTAGTTAATGCCTCTCCACTTGTTAATTTAGTTTATTTTCTTGCTTTCCTGTAAGTAAAACCAAAAGCAAAGCCCCATCCTGTGCTTGAGCACATGCCTGCATCTCAGAGGTACTGCAGGAGTGTTGGGGGACCTGGCAGATGGCCACCACCATCGCAGACTCTTCGTTCTTGACTACTGAATTTTAGAAGCAATAGCAAAATTTTGCCTTTTTCTTTAAAGCTTTAATACATATGTATGCATTAGATACACAACACGTGTATTAAAAAGTTGAATTCAAGAGCCAGCATTTGAGAATTTTTGATGGAATCTGAGGGTGGCTATGGGAAACCTTCACCCTTCCTAGGTGTGCGGGGTTCAGCCAGGGCAGAGTTAACTCTCTTTACCGTGGCTGCTAGGAAGCTGTTCCTGGATGCAGAGAGCAGCACTGATAAGGTCTTGGCTGGTGCTGGGCAATGCCTGCACCAGATTCCAGGTCTTTCTCCACTTCTGATCCTGCAGCTGCGTTCCCAGCTCTCACTGTCTCGCTACAGGCAGTGCAGGGGACACACAGTTCAGACACCTGACCCCAGCTGACCAGGGAGTGTTTTATTCCATAGTACATCATGCTCGGGGCAGAGGTGAGGAGGGAGTCTGGGAACTCAGGCTGCGGCTCTCGGGCTCTCTGGGTCTGACTCCCACTGCTCAACACCTGATTGTGCATAGGTCAGTGGGTGGTGAGGAATTGTATCATAATTGTATCATATTGCATCATATGTTTTATTTTTGTTATTTTGATTACTTATTATTAGTAGTGTTTGTATATATTAATTTTGTTTTAATTAGTAAATTGTTCTTATCTCAATTTTATGAGCTTCATTATTTCTTTTTTTCCTCTGATTCTTCCCCTCCACTGGAGGAGGGAGGGGAGGGGCCTTTGTGAGAGAGGCTTCGTGGTATTTTGCTAGCCGGAGTTAAACCACGGCACTAGGGCAGTCTGTCAGCCTCCCATGGTGCATCGCGCTTTGATGTGCTGTGGCACTTGGCAAAATTCTGAGAGCTTGTAGCCTGTGGCAACTTTTCACCCTTTATTGTTGTTTTTGTTGGAGTGTTTTTGCTTGCTTTTTTCCATTCTGAAGTTTGCAAACATCCTTGGAAAAAGAGTGCCACTTCTGCTCCATCGGAATTGATTCATAAGAAGGGATGGAAGAAAAGCTTTGTACAGCCTAGGCTGGGTGATCCGCGAGTGGGGCTGATGGCTGTGAAAACCTGTAGGAAGGAGAGGATAGATGATGTGCCTGTTGTGTATGTATGGGCAGCGCACAACTATTAAAAGAAACTAAATGTATGAATTCTTCCTGGATCGAGTCTTTGGGGTTCTTTTGTAGCTGCAGAAGCTTTGTAGCATAGAGTGATGTTATTTCTCTGTTTCTTTTCATGTTGTGGCTATCAGCAGCTTTTTGTACCACTGTGATAGACAGGCAGCTGCTCATGTAGGTGGTGCAGAATGCATTTGTACCACAGAAACCTCATTAGCTTCTCATCTGAGTGCTTTTATGATGCTGGGATTGCTTCTAACATCCTTTGAGACATGCCTCCTGTTTTGGGTTTGATCTTCCACCATTTTCTAAATATGCATGACTGGAGTCATCTGCTGAATCGTCAGCGGTCATTGACATTAAACACAAGTAGTAATGCATAGGGCATTATTAATGAGCTGACCAGCTCCAGATTTTGCATTTTTTTTGAGCTGGAGTTTAATGAAGGAAGTGCCCTGATGCTGCATAGTAACATGCAGGCAGTGCTGCTTCAGCTGAGGAAGCCAGGGTAGAGGCAAAGGGCATGGTCTTCATTTAATGAGGCAGAAATGGTTGGCTTAAGTGAATAATTTTTTGCTTGTTTGAAGTTATTTAACTATTTTTATTGCATAAGTAAGTGTGTTGTATATTTGTGTGCATAAGAAATGGTATGTAGGGGCTGATTTCCACAGCAGTCCAAGTACTCCGTTGGTAAAAAACCCAACTATTTCTGCACGAGTTCCGTTTTTCAAAATGGAGAGATGATCTGTCATGAGGAGGGAATTGCGAGGAGGGAAACTGGGGAGTCGGGAGTTGGAAACCCTCATCGTCAGCTAATCGAGTGAGAACTGGACCTCTGCGTCCCTGTAATGGCCTGACTGGTCTCATTTTCTGTTTCAGAACTGATAAACAAAACTGACGTGCTTAGTCTCAGCGGGAAGACTCTGCATGTGACAACAGGGTCGGCACCTGCTCTCCTCAGCTCTCCCGACGCGCTGCTCTGCCAGTATATCAACGTGCGGCTCATGAACGCAGAGCCACAAGGTACGTGGGCTGCTGATCTCTCCCCCTTGCAGGCTGAGCTTTTGGTCAGCTGAGCTGTGGGCACCGTCCCTTTCTGATGCAGAGGAGTACACACATTTTCATTGGTAGATGGTAATTTTCTTTATTTTATCCTAGTATGTGCTTTCTACTAAACACAGTGTTTTAGCTTTTCTCCCTCTTTTCAGAACAGAAAAAGGAGAGCTGCTTTGAGATAAGGGGCAGCATTCAAATATGAGCCCTTAAGCACTGCTTTCTTGTTTCTGACCCCCACCTCAACTCTGCAGCTTATTTTAAAAGGCTTAGTCTAAAACTGACCAAAAATGAGCCAAGCTTTTTACCAAGACACTGTAAACAGCCCATGGAATGTTTCTTCCTGCTATTTAAAAGCCAAATGAATTATATTATTAACCTGATCTGGTGTGTAGATGGGTGCACGTAGTTCCCTTTCACAGCTGCTAACCTTGTAACTGCTCTGAAACCTCACGTTGAAGAAGCCGTGTTGTTAGTAACTCACTCTTAAGCTCTGCCCTGGTATGAGTCCTTTCTGGGCTGTGTCCGAGTAGAATCTTCCTGACTCCACTGGGAACCTACTAGGGCCAAAAATGCATGTTTAAGTGGGGATTTGATCATCAGAAGGTGCTTTGTAAGCTTCTCTGGTTGTCAGTGGCTTGTGTCCTGTTGAAATATTTCATGTTTCCCAGTCTTCAGATTATCCGCTTGCCCTGTGCAAAGAATCCTGCAAGGCTTGCTTTCAGTTGTTAAGCTGTTGGTGATCACTTACACCTCTGAGTCTGTAACTCATGGACTTCTTAGTGAATGTCTGTGAGTAGGCAGGTATCGGTAATTACTCAGCACTCTGGAGAAATGGAGATGAAATGGAAGAAGAAATCCTAACTTTCAATTTACTGAGCTGAAAGAGGTAATACCATTCCTCACCAATAGTGATGCAACTGTTTATCTTGTTCAGAGTGTCAGAAGGGTACAGTGGGAACTCTTCTGATGGAAAATCCCGTTGGTCAGAACGGATTAACGTACCAAGGGCTTCTGCATGAAACGGCAAAAGTTTTTGGGTTGAGAAGCAGGAGGCTGAAGCTGTTCCTGGATGAAGCGCAAACTCAAGGTAAGTACAGACTTTTGCTTTGCTTGTCCAAGGATTCTTGGGAGACTTTGGTGAGGAGCAGCTAATGCACCCTGAGATCTAGTTTAATTACTCAGCGCACACTATTTACACTTTGGTTGCTAATCTTGCCCAGTAATTCAGTACTCCATGTAAGCACACATACACATGTGGAAATCCAAAGCTTTAATGCCTTCCCTTCATGCCATGGCCAAGCCAGGTTCTGTAACAGTTTCTTCCTTTGGAAGCAGAAGTCACTCAGCAATGTAAAGGGTAGTTACATGCTGCTGGGACTCAGCAGGGTGGATCTCCCCCTAGAACTGAGTCTGAAGGGTCAACATTTTAAGGACCTGTTCAAATTCTTCCTGTAACACTTGTGGTGTTGTGGGTTTTTTCCTTCCTTTTGGAGAACAGAAGTGAGGGGAAAATAATGTTGGATCTATTTTAGAGCTGTGTTAGTAGGTCAGAACTGTAGGGTACAGCAGCTGCAATCCATTCGGAATACCTGGGAGGAAGGAAGCTTTATCACACAGTCACATGTCTGAAATGGTAAAGAATCTTCCAGAACCACGGTCAGGTGGTGAGGCTTAGAAACAAGGATCTCTGATTCATGAGAGAGAGAAGACTAAAGATGTAGCCACCTGTAGCGCTGAAAAGTTCGACCTCAGGAAGATTTGGGACTTTCTGAGAGGCAGAATGGATTGGAAACTGCGTGGTAAAACCCCCAAATATTTCTGTGTATTCATGAAAATTCAGCTCTCGGAATGAGATGATGTAAAGGATTTTGTCTCCGGTTTGTGGTAATGGCACAAGTTACAAGCAGTTTGGGAGGGGTGCGTGGCACTTAGCTTCCATGGGATGAGTGAAGGTTAATCTGCCCAGAAGGGACCTGGCCTCAAGGGATTCACGTAGGATCAACTAGAACCAGAGCAAGGGAGGTCTGGGTTCTTCTGTTGTCGAGTTTTGGTTGTGGGTCAGGATGGCTTTATATTTTGTGTGACCTGCAGTCTGTTCATTCAGAAGCCATTTTCCTAAGTAAAACAGAAAGAGGGAACTAACTGGCAAACCAGGAAAACTTGTTGCCTTTAAGTCTCAATTTAATTAAGGATTTTTGAGATGCCTCTACCTAAAAGGGAAATCGCTGGAACGTATTTGTAGTACGAATTCTCCAGAACTGTGTAAACTTCCATGAAGTGTATAAAATGACAGTTCATGATGTGAGAAATGGGATTTGATGACTCTTCAAAGGCTAAGCCAACTGATTTGGTCTTTTTGGGACTCAGAATGTAGAGAGCTGGGTCCTGGAGGTTTGTGCAGCTGACACATGCTTATGCCGCACGGCTACGCTTCTGCTGTCTCACCGTGCAGCTCTCTTCTTTTAATGGTGTGAACACTGGAATGGATGTACTTTGTCTTCACATCTCTTCAGATGATAAATAAATGCCTCATATAAGCCAAATATTTTGATGCCTCTGGAACAACGTTAGTTCAGTTGATGGTTGTGTATTGCTGCAGCTTTGTAATCCCCTGTGCATCTCTTCGTCACGTTTCAAGGTTCTGCCTGCAAAACAAAACAAGTTCAGTCTCTTGAGAAGTTTTTTTAGGGTTTCTTCTAAAAATAATTTTAAAAAATTGCTGCTGACTGTTTGCGATGTTTGAGAAGAACCCACGAAGTGGAAGGTTGATTGCCGGTTTAGTGGGGGGGTGGGAAATCACTTGGTGAGAAACGAATTAGCAGTTTTGAAAATGTTACTTTAATACACGTTGTCGGGTGCAGGCAGTTGGGCACCTGCCGGCCACGGCACGGAAGCGTGCCAGCCTCTCGGAAACAAATGCGGTCTGTCACGCAGGAAAAGCTGTCTCGAGATGTCAGTGGTGAGCGTTGCTTGCTCGTGAGGCTGATCCAGAGACACGTTTGGGATGCAGGCAGCGCTTCTTAGTGTGCCGGCTTCACCGCCTGCCTTCGGAGGAATTGGCACAGAAAGGAGGGTGCCCTTACATTCTGTTGCTAAATCAAGTTTCCCATTTCTAAATAGTAAGTATTGTGTTAAATGCTGTTGAAAACGTGTTTGTGTAGTTCCTAATTTTTCAGAATTTAAAAAAATAAGTAATTTTGAGAAAGACTTTGAGGCCAAGTTTGTAGTTTGGCTGTTTCTGCAGGCCAACTGCCTTTTTCACATACTGATGCAGCATGTTCCTGGGAAAGGAAAGTAAATGAGGGAATAAAGCCCGAATTGCTGCACTGGGTTCTGCCTCGCTCTTGCAGCTCTGTAGGTGGGCATTCTGCTGCCTACAGCAGAGCACTGCACTGGAAGACAACTCCTTAAAAACAGTACCTTCAGGATCTGTAAGGGCTTCTTAACTCTTTAAGAGATGGCTTCTAATCTTCGATGCAGACTGCCTCTGCTCAGCCAAAAAGGAAATATCTTCCAAAGGAAGATGGGGGCCATAATGTTGGAAGGCACGTGCATCCTGTTAGCTGAAAACAGGACTTCTTGCTGCCGTCTCCAGAGTCAGTTTTCACCTGGGCATCATGTTACGGAAAACTAAGCAGCTTGTAGGTTATCTCCATGGATGCACTTCACAGACTTGCCTCCCCCAGCACACAGGCAGCGCCGCGGTCGCTGTCAGCTGGAGACGAGCCCGGGTTAGAGCAGCGTGAACAGCAGACGTCAGCCTGTGAGAAGAGTGCAGTGCGCTACAGAATGGTTTCTCCTGAAAAACCACCCAGCCGCTCCCAGTGTCATCAGTCTCTCATTTGTGCTAACCCTAGCACCAAAATTTAAAATTCCCTTTATTCGCGTGTGTTGCCCATAGGGATGCTGGCGTGCAGAGGAACACCGTAACCCCCAGGAGGCTTTTGCTTTGGTTTCAGTGCTTGTATTTGTGGTTACTGCTTTGAAGTTTCCCAGTTAAGAGACCCCTAGTATATTTGTTATTCAGCTTGCTGTTCTTCCAGAGCTGTACCTCCCAGTATTCCAAACAGTCTGCTCTGCTATGCTTTGGCTGTTGGGTGCTGGGAATCATTGAGCTAGCAAGCACCAAACTGCCAGAGCCCCTCTGCCATGGGGACAGGCTGAGAGAGTTGGGCTTGTTCAGCCTGGAGAAGAGGAGGCTCCGGGGAGACCTTATAGCACCTTCCAGTGCGGGGGGAGGGTGGGGTGTGTGTGCAGGAAAACTGTGGGGGGATGTTTTACAAAGACAGGTAGTAGTAAGGGGTAATGGATTTAAACTGAAAGAGAGCAGATTTAGATTAGATATCAGGAAGAAATTCTTCCCGCAGAGGGTGGGGAGGCACTGGGACAGGTTGCCCAGAGAAGCTGTGGATGCCCCATCCCTGGAAGTGTTCAAGGCCAGGCTGGATGTGGCTTTGAGCAACCTGGTCTAGTGGAAGGTGTCCCTGCCCATGGCAGGGGGGTTGGAACTAGATGGGCTTTAAGGTCCCTTCCAACACAAACCATGATTCTATGATGATCCTGTGATGACTGTTCCAACCCAGGTATATATAGCTATGAAAAAACTTAAGGAATTGATCTCATGGTATGAAATTCTTTAGGCATAATCAGCAAGATCACAACATTAGTTTTTCAGCAGATACTACTACAATCCTTGCCTCACATACAAAACTCGAGCTCATGTATGCGTATTCTTATTCTTGTACTCCCTCACAAGTCCAAGGTGGGATATTGGGAGATGGATCTCTGTATGGCCGTTCTTACGCACTTTTTATAGGGAACACTGGTTTTCCCTGCATTGTGTGGTATTGTTAAGAGTGACTTCGTTTCATGACATGGTCAAATAACGTTCTGAAGTAGCTGTTATTGTGTGGCTGGGAAGCTGGGAGCTGTGGGCTGACACAGGCTTTCAAAAAACTCTGCTTTGTAACCCAGAACAGTATCTTCAGCCGCTGCCGTGGCAATCCTGGTGCGTGGTGACTCTTCCCTTAATGCGCTCTGCTCTGACGGGAGGGAATGTTGAGCGGAGCAGTTTCTGTCCTAGTCCTGTTTTGACTGAACCAGCAGAACAGTCTGACTAAAAAGGGAAGGGGGGAAACAGTGTTGGTAGTTACTTGTGAGCAAGAGCACTAACGCTGTTGTGTTTCTTGTTTTTTTTGGTTCAGAGATCTCGAAGGACATCTCCATGAAGAACCTGAACATGAAGACTCTGTACGTCCATGTTATTCCCACCACAGCTGAATGTTGAGAATTCCGTTTTTATGAATAAGACCATGTAGACTCTTTTCCACAAAACCAGAAGTGAAATTAAATTGGTGTGCTTTTAGGTTAACGTCCAAGCTGTGTGTGGTACTTTTAACACCTCAGATTGCACACGGGGTGTTTTCTACCAGTGCATGTCTAATACGCTGCTCTCTGGTTGCAAATACAATGGATTTTCAGTATGTTACCTTAGATACTGTAAACGCTGTTCAGAAAAATGTCAGAAGTCCTTAATCTTAGATATCTATGCAGTAATTTGCCTGAAAGAAATGGGACGAGTACCTCAGTGATGCTATTCTCTGCCTGTCCTCTATGCAGAGGCCGTCTTTGGTTTTCTAAACCATGGTTACCTACAAGGCGCTTTGATACACACACCTGGTTACAGCAGCTCTGAAACTTATTTAAGGCTTACCCGGGTTTCTTCAGTCATACATGCTAGCTGGATTTTCATGGTGTGTGCCTGTTGATTGAAAATGCTCCCTAATTCTGACCCTTGGAACAATAAATATGCTTCATCTCCCAACTCTGTTTGCCTGAGTTCAGAGTACTCTGCTTCCTTACCTTTTCTGAAGAAGCTAACGCTTAGCACACCGCATAGATGAGGAAAACCTAGAGAAACTTGCAGTCTGAAACTGTCCATATTGAGTGAGTGGCTGGATTGTGATGGTGACAGGTTTTGGGGATTTTATGTGGTTAGGGAGGGATGGGCAGGGTTGTTCGCTTTTTGATTTCAGATTTAAAAGGATTTTTAGATTGAAATTAGTGCTGGGTGTTTAGTTTGTGTGCTATTCAATATAACTTGCCAAACGTCCCAGTGTTCACTTGTAGGTCTGCATTCAGGTGAAACAACAGGCAGCCTTTTTCCGGTTGGAGGATGCTTTTTTGATGAGTTAAACAAGAAAGTTACGCACGCTTAGGTTTGGCTGCCTTCTGGTGGTGCTGTTCCTCGGGGCTGGGAGCTGCTGTTGTACCGCAGGTGTGCACAGGCCTCGCTGCTGGGCCTTCGTTAGCTCCCCGAGGACGGGCTTGCCTGTGCGGCGAGGAGGGGAACACTCCGTAAGGACAGCAGTGTCCTGCTTGGCGTGTTTTTCCATTGCTCTCTGGTTTGCATCTTTACACTCTGAATACAAACCAAAGCTTTTTTGTGGTAACACTCCGTTAGTGGGAATAACTATAAATAACTGTTCTGTGGAACTGCTGTGCTCTAGTGGACCGTACCGACATTGTGAGGACTGGTTTGAAGTAAATCAGCTCTCTGGCATTCAGTTTACCTAGAATTGTTTTTATCAATATTAAAAATGTCAGTGCCTGAAGCTGCTGAATCCCCGGCCTGTTCAGTGTGATGAATGTTGGACCTTGCCCTCTGCCTTTCCCTGTAAGCCGGCTTGCTTGGCTTCCTGCTTGCGTACTGCCCTGGAAATCAAATTGGCATTGATTTATGGTGGGGGTTTTTTTTGGGGTGTGTGTTTGGGTTTGTGGTTTGTTTGTTTGTTTTTTGTGGTCACATTAAAAATGTCCGGATTAGGTCTTCTGAGAAGGTAAGACTGCTGTTCCTAAACAGAGTAACTTGATTATTTATGGAGAATAAATGAAGATGGCAAATGATTGCAATCTAACCTCATTCTTAATGAGACAATCTAAGGGGGCAACATTACTTGCATTTTTAAATAGTTCTTTGGGATTTAGCATTTTGAGTGTGTAATTTTTTCTTTCTGAGGATGTTGGCTGGCCAAGTTCTGTGTAAGGACTGGATTTCATACAGATACATATGCTTTCCAGTGAATTAAAAGCCCAGCCAAGATTTGGGAGTTCACTGAGTTACAAACAGAACAATAGAATCTTTGACAGAACCCTTTTTCTTTCTCAAATATGTTTATCTGTTTAATGTCAATATACTCTGCCCTTAAGAGAAATCCTTCTTGAGACCTCAGTCCAATAATCTGCTATTTCACATGAGGTATAGCTGAACTGCGTTTCCTGCATTTTCTTGCAGTAAATGACTGATCTGTGCTGGAAATGAAAACTGGCCTGTCTTGTGACTTCATCTGTGAGCTGTGCCAGTGGATGTTCTGCAGAGCAGCACTGCCTGTGATGCACTGTTAAAACAGGTGAAGGCATGCTGATAAAACTTGCTGTCAGAGGTAAAGGGTTTAAATTATTTACTCACTGGAAAGGGATGAAAGAAGAACACTGCTGATAACTCTCTGTGTCCCGTAGTTCTTCAAGGCCTGTGCAAAAGCTTGAAGACAAAGTTAGCAAAGACAGCACTTTATTTCTACAGACCTGAAATTAGTCTGGTCCGTTTGTGCATGAGGCTGTGAGGAGGTCGCTGTATTAGCTAACTACCCATCCCTGCTTCTGAGAGTGTGTTTATGGCGTGAGAGTTTATGCCGCAGTCTGAAGAGCAGCCGAAAAACCAGAGTGAGGCAAGCCACTCCTTGAAGAAAGGGAGATGGTGATGGTAGACTACAAACTAGACATGAAGCATTGGGGTTTTTCATCCTGTTTCACCACAGATCGTGTGCAAACGGGGCTGGAAGGATGTTTTCCTGTGAGTTTCTCATCTTACCACAAAAAATGAAACAAAATATGGCCAAAAAGATAATGGAACGTGTAACTGCTTTTGCAGAGGCGCCGCAGTGTAGGTACAGAGGGCACCTGTGGTGTAACACTTGTGTTTGGACACCCTTAGTAGAGAGATGCTGCCTACCCCGGTGCTTTGTATTTGAGCCGATACAGTTGTCTTCTAGATTTGGCTTAATGTTACCTAGCTGTATTTCCTTCATTCCAGTAAAATACAGGAATATATTCATATTGTTTGAGCTGGAATTAAATGGTATCACCGTTTGAACAGCGTGAGAAAGTACTTCCGCTTGCTCTCAGTGTGAACAGGGAATGGTGAAAGTCTTGTTCCAGGTAGCAGTGTGGCACCAAGGGTTTCTTTCAAAGAAATGCAACACTATTCCTTGTCAAGGAGTGTATTCAGCTAGCCCTAAATATGTTTTTAGAGCAGTTGACCCAAGAAATCCTTCAATAAGACGAGTTTTTCTTTTCCAAATGAGACTTCGGCTTAAAACTTACAGGAGGAAAAGCTTTCAGATAGATGTGCTCCATAGGGTGTGCAGTGGGAACTGCTGCATTAAAGCCCTCCTTGTCTCTCTGTGCAGCTTGATTGTACCTTTTTCCTGAGGTATTGGCACTTCAGCGTGAAGCGGGTGTTGTGCGGGCACAAGGTTACGCTGCCCCTTTCTTTCCGGGGTCAGAAATAGTGTGGTCATGGCTGGTGTTTCCCTTCCCCTGCTTCACCTCTGTCTCCTTTCTTCACTGTGCACCCTTTCTCTCTTCCTCTCCCCCTTTCCCTCTTCCTCTCCCCCTTTCCCTCTTTTTATTTTTAGTGGGTTTTTTTGTGGCGTGGTTTTTTTGCCCCATGTTGTTTTCAGTTTCTCACTGGTTTTCTTCCAGACCCACATACTCCTTGTGGGCTGCGATGGCTGGAGCAGAAACCAAGGCATGCCCTTGCGCTTCTCTCTCCGATCATACGAAGGGGTGGAAATGCCATTTCCATAGGATTGGTAATAGCTGTCGGGGGGAGGAGTCAATGTGCTGACAGCAAGTATTGGAAGAATGAGACCAGAGTATCAGGGGACAGTGCTGAAAAGGCTTTTGGGCCAGTTTACATCAGTGTTTTACCTAAAAAAACAAACAAACAAAACCCAACCAAACAAAAAAAACCCAGTAAACTTTTCTGTGAGGATTTTTTTAAACTTCACTTTCAGCTGCCGCTCAGTCAGTTGTCTGTGATCTCTTATCCCCAGAACATACTGGGTGAATGTTAGGAACACCTTGTGACCCATTTGGGTGAACTTGTGCTGTTTGTACCTCCCCTCTCCACATCCACTGTTAGCATTCTTTTTTTGTTATTCTGGGTAATACCTAATCATTGCTTGAGAGAATTTGTGTCATGGGATCATGTAGTGGGATAAGTTTCCTATTGTTTTTTTTTTTATTAAGGTTTGCTAATGTGCATCTATAACCTCATCTAGGTCGGGCTAATAATAGTATCTTGGCTTGATGTGATACTACTCAGCGCTTCCTGTACTTCAGTTAGCTTTCCTCTTAAATGGCTTGTATACAGACTAGGTCCTGGACCACTACTGCCCTTCCCTGCATAGACAAAAACACTCCCTAGGCACCCAGGGAACTGTGTTACACCATCTCCTGTACTCTGTAGGAGTTTGTGTCCTTGAATTCCCATGCAGTTCCACTGCTGCCCTTCACCTGACAGCAGTGCAGCACTCTGAACCTGCTGAAATGTGTGCAGCATCCAGGGATCTGCAGGAGTTG